TGATGAGAAGCATGTTAAAGTCACCCAGTATTATTTTATTGTGATATATTTGATTCTTAATATTGAGAAGGTTTTGTTCGATATACGTAGATGCTCCATTGTTTGGGGCATAAATATTTATAATAATTATATCTTGTTGATGTATGATTCCCTTAAACAATATGAAGTTACCTTCTTTGTCTCTTCTGATTGCTCTTGGCTTGAAGTCCGCTTTATCTGATATGAGAATAGCAACCCCTACTTCTTTACAAGTCCCATTTGAATGGGGTATATTTTTTCTCATCCTTTCAATTTAGTCTATGGATGCCTTTGCCTGTGAGGTGAGTCTCTTGCAGACAGCATATTGTTGGGAGTATTATGAGAATTATACTTGATCTTAGCCAAAGGCCAGGAAGTGATTAAATGAGAAGTAAATGAGTTAGTTTACGTAAAGAACTTAAGTACATAGCCCATACTAAGAATCACAAAATGTTAGTTGCCATCTGAATCAATTTATATATTTATGTCTTAAGTTTTATTACTCTTTGGTAGATGAAACGTAGTTGTCCTTATGTGGCTTATGATTTTTTTTGAGAAGAAATGGGTTCAGCTCTCTTAACAAAAATATACAACTACCTGTGTTTTACAATGGCTTCACAGTAGCCATCAACTTAAGGAGGTGGTGGTTTAAAGCTTTGCCACTATGAACTCAAGCCAAATTTCTGAAACCTCATTAAAAAGTGGGGGCTGGGGATATAGCTCAGTTGGTAGAGTGCTAGCCTCACATGCACAAGGCCCTGGTTTCAATCCCCAGCAACACACACACACACACACACACACACACACACACATCAAGTAGTTGCCTGGTATGGTTGTGCACTGGAGCCTGAGGCAGGAGAATCACAAGTTTAACAGCAGTTTGGGCAATTTTGTGGGACCCTGTCTCCAAATAAAAAGGGCTGGGGGCATTGTTGCTGTAGCTAGCTTAGTGGTAGAGCACTTGCCTAGCTTGGGTGAGGCACTGGGTTCAATCCTCAGTACCACATAAAAAATAAATAAATAAAATAAAGTTATAAAAAAATATTTTAAGGGACTGGGGTTGTGGCTCAGTGGTAGAGCACTTGCCTTGCACATATGAGGCCCTGGGTTCGATCCTCAGCACCACATATAAATAAACAAATAAAATAAAGGTATTGTGTCCATCTACAACTGAAAAAAAAATTCAAATATTAAAAAGGGGGGGGGCTGGGGATATTACTTGGTGGTAGAGTGCCCCAGTACAAACTGGGTTCAATACCCCGTATGATTGATAGATAGATAGATAGATAGATAGATATAGATAGATCAATCAAAGCAAGCAAGCTAGAGATATAACTCAGTGGAAAGCAATTCTTGATTCAATTTCCAGTGGGGGACAGACACATCATGTAAGGCTACTGTAAGCTCCTTCTAGTTCCTGCTGTTTTACTTTCTTCTATTTTATTTTTATTTATTTTGTCAGGGAGAGGAGGTGCTGCTTGGATTTCACTGTGTTCACTTGATGAGCAGTGTTGCACACTGGTTAAGACCTTGGGCCCTGAACCAGCATGGTGATGTAGACCTGTAATGCTGAGGCAAAAGAATCACTTGAGCACAGAAGTTGAGAAGCAGCCTGGTCAACTCTGTCTTTAAAAAAAAAAAAAAAAAAAAAAGTGACCTTGGGCTCCGTAATGGTTAATAATATCTCATATTATAATTCATATTTGTAACTTCTTTCTATAACCACTAGAAACCTGGCTTCCATTATCTAGAATATATTTACTTATTTGTATAACTCTTATATGTTTTGTATACATACTAGGTAATTTTTTAATTGCTAAACCATATGAGAAAAAAAGCTTATTAACTAAATTAGCACAGTGTTCATGTCTAACTCTAGCTTTGTCTTTGGCCTTTCAGTATCCAATCAAAATATTGTTTTCTAAAGCTTAGATTAGTTCCTTTTATTCTCTCCATTCACTTCACTATGGTTATACTATTTATTTATAATAATAATACAGTCCTGTTCTTTTTGTTACTTTGTATTCCATTTTGGGTTACCTCCACATTTTGGTTGGTGAATTTGTTTTGTTTTTCCCAAATTTATGTACAATGAAGTTCACTCTTTGTTAGTATGTAGTTTTGTGGGACTTCACAAATACCCAATCATGATAAAGAACAGTTTTGTTCACCCACCAAATTCCCTGTGCTGCTTCTTAGTTAACCTCTCTTCCAGATCCTCCCCCAGGAAGTGACTGATATATTTCTAAGCTTTTTGCATGGACAAGAACTGGAAGAGTAGTACCTCAGTAACAGTGAGCACACTGGCCTCTCATATATTAATTTCTAAATATAATTCTGTAGCTGCACGCAGTAATGCACACTGCAGTCCCAGCTATTCAGGAGGCTGAGGCAGGAGGATCACAAGTTCAAGTCTAACCTGGGCAACACAGAACCATCTCAAAATACAAAATAAAAAAGGGAATATAGGTCAGTGCATTTAACCCCGAGTACTGCAAAAATAAATAAATAGTTCTCTAATGGGAGGAACCAGGGTTTCCTAGGGAATGGATGATTCCAGGATTCCAATACTGAGAAAAGAAAAAAAAAAAAACAGGAAAAGTCCGAGGCATCTTGTGGTGCCACAAATAAGGAAATGCCACAAGAATGATAGGGTCATTTTTAAAGAAGCATACTAATTAAATTTAAAGAAAATGCAGTAGAAAAAAAATAGTAGTTTAAAGTTTAAGACTTTATTGCTTTTAGTCACCTTTGTTATCAATTGAGGAATGTCCTTGGGCTGAGGAATAGCCACTGCTCTTTCAGAGACTCATATGGAAGGTACCCAATTGGGTTGTCAGGTGCCTAGCTACTGACACCAGACCAGTAAGAACCAGGGTCCAAGAGGATGTTACTTGACACCAGATTTCTCTGTTAATGACCATGTTTAATAGCATTAATTCCTTTAAAATAAGTATTATAAGGGCTGGGGATGTGGCTCAAGCGGTAGCGCGCTCGCCTGGCATGCGTGCGGCCCGGGTTCGATCCTCAGCACCACATACAAACAAAGATGTTGTGTCCGCCAATAACTAAAAAATAAATACTAAAAATTCTCTCTCTTTCTCTCTCTCTCTCTCTAAAAAAAATAAAAATAAAATAAGTATTATAAAATCTGAAAAAATTCTTAGATGTAAGATGGTTTTGGTTAAATCCCACAAAAATTATAACACATCTTCGGGGGAGGCGGGGGGATACTAGGAATTGAACTGATGAGTGTTATACCACCAAACTATACCCCCAGCCTTTTTTATTTTACTTTGAGACAGAGTCTTGCTAAGTTGCCAAGGCTGGCCTCGTGCTTGCCATCCTCCTACCTCAGTCTCCTGAGTTACTGGGATTACACCACACCCAGTCACAACTTTACCTCCTGATTCTGACTTGTTTTTTAAGTCATTTCTTTAGTGTATCTGTCTATGTAATGTGATAACAGTGCTTTGCATCTTATTGATCAAGAGTGTTGGCTCATACATCAGCACTGAAGATTAAAGTGCTACTTCTTCACATTCAGGGTGAGGAGAAGAAAAAGGGAGAAAGTGAAGAAAAAAGCAAGAACATGTGTGTGTTACAGAGAGGATTTTTTCCTTATTCTGAATGCTTAGAATCAGCAGAGTTTTGTTGCAGTATTTATTACAGCCGGAATGAGTCATTCTGGATATTTAATAAAAAAAAAAAATCAAATGAGAAATGATGCATTATATAGTAACAAAGGCTTTTTCATGACTCACCTCCCTGTGGTGGTTTTTATAATTTACCCTCTCTCTAAGGCTTATCCTTCTTGTCTGATCCTCCTTTCCCCTTTAGGAAAAAAATTATTTAGGAAGATAAATTTAGTTTGGCTAAATATAGCACTGACATTTACATGGAATACTAATTTATACATAGACATAACTTTTATTCTATTTTATTTTATTTTTTGGTTCTGGGGAATCAAACCCAGGAACACTTAACCACTTAGCCACATCCCCAGTTCTTTTTAAATTTTTTTATTTTGAGACAGGTCTCCCTAAGTTGCTTAGGGCCTTGCCAAGTGACTGAGGCTGGCCTTGAATTTATAATCCTCCTGCCGCAGCCTCCCAGGTCACTGGGATTACAGGCATGGGCCACTGCACCCAGTTAAAAGATGTAACTTTTAATTGTTGTTTGACCACACAATTTTTTTTGTGTACCACATAATTACCTAAATCTTTCTAGCTTTTAAGATTATCAACACAGTATAATGTGACTTCTGATGCCATAAAGGTAAAATTTTTATATTTTCCATATATTGTCTGGGGCAACTTGAAAAATAGATGAGTAGTTACCAGGTTTAGTGGCACATACCTGTAATTCCATATGCTCAGGAGGCAGGCAGATCATAAATCAGAGGCCAACCTGGGCAGTGTAGGGTTCAGCTGCCTCAAAATTTTAAAAATACTAAAAAGGACTAGGGATGTAGTTCAGTGATGGAGTACTCCTGGGTTTAATCTCTATTAGTACAAAACAAAAATAAGGGAAAAGAATAAAAAAAAATAGTTAAGTGGATTAAAGTTGTGGCTCATTTTTAAACTATAGAAAAATTATTTTGAATAAGAACTTAACTGTTCATATTGTTTTATTACTTTTCTTTAGCATTGGGAATCATCAAGTGCCTGTTTATAGGTAACTCGGAGGATGAAACAGGGACATAATAAGTCTGAAAGAATAGATGACTGTTAAATGCTTTATCTTAAGATGTTGTTGCTTGTGTGTTTGTATTATAATGACATTTCTGATGTGGGACTAAATTCATGATTCAGATGGAACTTTTTAAGGTTTAATGGGCCTTCAAATTGTGTATTACCCATTACTTCCTCTAAGTATGAAACAGCTTTTTGGTGCCCAGAACTGTTAATTCTTTTTTAGTTCTTTTTTAGCTCAAGTTTTCCTTAGGATCTGTGTCTTTACTGTTACTACTGTTTTTTTAGGCATATTCAAAACATGAGTGAGATCAAAACTGATGTTGGACGAGCTCGGGCATGGATAAGATTATCTCTAGAGAAGAAGCTTTTGTCCCAGCATCTCAAGCAGTTGCTCTCTAACCAACCACTTACCAAGTAAGATATTGCCTTTTGAGACCTTTCTGTTTTGTATGCTGGCAAAGCTGACAAACTGGCATCTTTAGCATGAATTGCTGATTTGTTTGCACATGAATTCTTATTGTGTAACAGGAGTGTACTTCAGAATAAGAAACTATCTTAGGGGGCTGGGGATGTGGCTCAAGCCGTAGCACACTCACCTGGCATGCGTGCGGCCCGGGTTCGATCCTCAGCACCACATACAAAACAAAGATGTTGTGTCCGCCGATAACTAAAAAATAAATATTAAAAAAATTCTCTCTCTCTCTCTCTCTCTCTCTCTCTCTCTCTCCCTCCCTCCCCCCCTCTCCCCCTCTCCCCCCCCCCTTTTTCTCTCTCACTCTCTCTTTCAAAAAAGAAAAAAGAAACTATCTTAACATAATATTTGATCATTGCTGGGAGGGCTCATCATATTTTATAGCCAAGGGCCAGATTGCTATGTTCTAATCAGAAAAAAAAAAATAATTCATCTGTACAGTTTGACAGCAACTTCGAAACCTAGAGTAGCATAAAAAGGATGGGAGAAGGGTTCACTGTAAAGGGTTTATGACAGTCTTGCCAACATTATGCTCAATAATCTAAAGCCAGGAAACCATTTAATAGCCTGACAATTAATTGTTAATTGGTTTGATAGTTTCCTTTATCAAGAAATCCTGAATACATGTCTGAATGTATACATTAGAGCTTTTTTGAAGGCTAAGGACTTTTGAGTTTTTAAGAGCATATATATGTAAAGAATCTAACCAAGACCTAAATATGACAGTTTATTGTAATCCCATCATAGTAACCCAGTGCTTTTTGCAGTTCTACTTTTATATGTATCACCCTTGGATTAATTACCCCATGATCATTTTAGGATGAGTCTTAATGTCCAGAGAGTCGTTTTGATAATAAAATGTAATTTATCAACTGTGAACCAGACCTTGTCTTTTAACATTTTTTCCCCCAATCATTAAAGTCATTTATGCCCATTGTGGCTAAAGTACAAAGAGCCAGGCATAGTGGCACACAACTTTAACCCCAGCAACTCGGGAGGCTGAGGCAGGAAGATCACAAGTTCCAAGCCAACCTCAGCAATTTAGCAAGACTCTCAGAAATTTAGCAAGACCCTTTCTCAAAATAAAAAAGACTGGAGATACAGTTCAGTGATAAAGTACCCCTGAGTTCAATCACCATTACCAAAAACAAAAAAAAAAAGTACAAAGAAGAAGAACATGATAGTTTATAATCCTATTGCATAAAGAACAATATTAAGTATTTCTGTACTTTCATCTATACTGTCATCTATTCATACCTTCTTAGTTAAAATTATAGTGTATTTGCAATTCAGTGCCATCCTTTTTTAGCCTAACATGGTTTCACAATATATAAAAGTTTAAACTCTGAAGTCTGAATACTGCCTTTACTCCTTACTTTTTGAATGGCTTTGGACAAGATAATTAACTTCTCTATGCCTCTGTTCTTCCATTTATAAAAAATGAGATTGCTAATAGACTTATCTCATAGGATTGTCATAAGAATTAAATATATGAGGCTGGGGTTGTAGTTCAGTGGTTGAGTGCTTGCCTTGCATGTGTGAGGTACTAGGTTTGATCCTCAGCACCACATGAAAAAATAAATAATTAAATAAAACAAAGATTTTTTTAAAAAAAAAAAAAGAATTAAATATATTAAGCCAGGCGTGGTGGCTCACACCTATAATCCCAGCAGCTCGGGTGGCTGAGGCAGGAAGACTGCGAGTTCAAAGCCAGCCTCAGCAAAAGCAAGGCACTAAGCAACTCAGTGAGACCCTGTCTCTAAATAAAATACAAAAAACAGCTGGGGCTGTGGCTTAGTGGTTGAGTACCCCTGAATTCAATCCCTAGTTACCCCATCCCAAAAAAATAAAAAGAGTAATATTTTTTGTAGTAGCAACTATGCCATTGTTAAAACCCTGCATAAACTTTTATCTTAAATGGCCATAACAGTATTCCAGCATGTGAATATATTGTGAAACATTTTAGTTTTTATTTATTTTTTGTTTTTTGTCACTGCTGGGAATTGAACCCAGGATCTTACTTCACCCCAGCTACAGCCCCAGCCTAAAAGGTTTTTACTTCACAAATAACATTTTAGTGGACATTTGTCAGTAAATCTTTTTAAATTTTTTTTTCTTTTGGTACTAGAGATTAAACCCAAGGGCACCTTATCCACTGAGCCACATCCCTCAGCCCTTATTTTAATATTTTATTTAGAGGCAGGGTCTTGCTAAATTGTTTAGGGCCTCACTAAGTTGCTGAAGCTGGCTTTGAACTCTCAATCCCCTGCCTCAGCCTCCCAAACCACTGGCAATATAGGCATGCGCCACCATGCCCAGCTGTAAGTAAACCTTCGCCCACATTTCATATTGTATACTTAGGACTGATCCCTAAAAGTAAAATTTATGAGTTAACGGTTATGACTAGTTGACAGGAACTTACCAACAAATTGCTTTCCTGAAATTTGCAATCCCACCAACTATAAGGATAACATTAGCTCCTCCTTGGTGCCAGTTATAATTTTTAAATCTTTATTGTTTCATTTTTTGTTTACAGTACTGGGGATTGAACCCAGGGTTGCTTTACACTGAGCTGCATCCCTAGCCCTTTACATTTTTTTGAGACAGGGTCTCACTAAGTTGGACAGGCTGGCCTTGAACTTGTAATCCTTCTACCTCAGCCTCCCAAGTCACTGGGATTACAGGTATGCACCACCATGTCCAACTTCTATTAGTTTAATAGAAAAACTTAATTCATGGCAAAGGCAGGCAGGGTGTCACATACCGGTTATCCCAGCAACATGGTAGACTGGGGTAACAGGAAGGCAACTGCAAGGCTAGCCGCAGCAACTTAGCAAGGTCTTTTCTTAAAACAAAAAATTAAAAAGGGAGGGCTGGGGATAGAGTTCCATTGGTAGAGTGCTTGCCTCACATGCACAAGGCCCTAGGTTCAATCCCCAGCACCACAAAAAAAAATTAAAAAGGGCTGGAGGGCTGGGATTGTGGCTCAGTGGTAGAGTCCTTACCTCATACATATGAGGTGCTAGGATCAATCTTCAGCCTCACATAAAAATAAATAAAGTTATTTTAATTTTTTTTTAAGGTGAGGAGCTGGGGATGTAGCTCAGTGGTAAAACACCCCTGGGTTCAGTCTCCAATACAAAAAAAAAAAATTTTTTTCATGTATTTTCCCCCTTTACTAGTTAAAAACCTTTTATTAGCTGTTAATATGTCCATTTTTTGTGAATTCTGTTTTTTCAACATTGTTTTCTTCCCTTTGTTTAGTGAAGTGTTTATTTTTACATATAATGAAAAGTATAAAAAATACACTGTTGTTTTGTGCTTGTCTTATTCGTTTTTAGGAAGCTTTATAAGCGCTATGCTTTTCTACGTTGTGAAGAAGAAAGAGAGCAGTTTCTTTACCATCTTCTTTCCCTCAATGCTGTGGACTATTTCTGCTTCACCAGTGTGTTCACCACTATCAGTAAGTCTGGAGAACTGACTGTTAAGTAAAGACTCTGTTAGGTAACTAATGGAATAAAAGTGTTCATATCTATAATAATGAGATATACCATAGTACAATGAGGTACACTATGATGGCCCCCCAGATCTCCATTTAGGAATGCAGGATATACCTTAGCTGCTGGGGATAGTCCTCAGTTGCCAGCCAGCCTATGGTAGTACCTCGCTGAAGAAAACTACCTTCCTGTGCATGTACCCTCCAGCCAGGGCCAGCCAGCATCCCACGAGTGATCAGAGGGCTATCTCAGAGCTCACAGTGGATATCAGCTGAGGACATCATTAAGACTGCATCACAGGGCTGGGGTTGTGGCTCAGTGGTAGAGTGCTTGCCTTGAATGTGTGAGGCACTGAGTTCGATTCTCAGCACCACATATAAATAAAACATAAAGGTCCATCAACTAAAATAAATAAAATAAAATTTAAAAAAAGGCTGCGTCACAGGGCTGGGGCTATACCTCAGTGGCAGAGCACTTGCCTAGCATGTGTGAGGCCCTGGGTTCCATCCTTAGCAGCACATAAAAATAAATAAAATAAAGGCATTCTATCTACAACTACAAAAAAAAATTAATTAAAAAAGAAGACTGCATCACAACTTAATATCTCCCTCAACCAGTCTTGTTTTCCTCCTCATAAGTGGATCCCAGGAGCAACATCATGTGTACTAATTTCTGACTTATTCATCTTTCCAAAACATCCAATCTGATGATAATTGTTACCTACAATGGGTGTAAAAAGGAATGTTTTGTTAAATAAATATTCCAATATTTATCCAAAATACATAAATTCAAAGAATAAGTGTATAATAATAATAATACACTTATGTGACAACATTATTTAATTTTGTTGACCAAGAAACACCTCAGAATCTTGCTAGATATTGTTGGTCTAGGTTGGGAGGAAATACTGATTGTCATTTTTCCCCCTAGTAATAGGAATTGAACCCAGAGCTTCACATGCTCCGTGACTGAGCTACATCCCTATCCCTTTTTATTTTATTTTGAAATAGGGTCTCAAATAAGTGGCCCAGGCTGGCCTTGAACTTGTGTTTCTCCTGCCTCCGCATCCTGAGCAATTGAGATTAGAAACATACAGCACACCACATTCAGCCTCAACATTTTGTTTTGTTTTCTTTTTTTGTACCAGGAATTGAACCCAGAGGTGCTTAACTACTGAGTCACATCCCCAGGCCCCCCACCCTTTTTTTAATATTTTGTTTTAGTTGTAGTTGGACACACACCTTTATTTTATAATTTGTTTAGAGACAAAGTCTTACCTGAGTTGCTTAGAGCCTCACTAAATTCCTGAGGCTTGCTTTGAACTCATAATCCTGCCTCAGCCTCCCAAACTGCTGGGATTACAGGCATGAACCACCACACCAGCCTCAGTGTATTTTTGATAACTGAACCACAGCATTTATTCTATCCACCATTATTAATTCTTACTTGCAGTGTGTTCCCCTCCCTATTTTGGAGAATTTTTGCTTGTATCAGTTAAGAATTGTGTTCAGCTGCAAATACCAGAAACTTTGAAAAGAAGTTATTTAAATAACAGTAATTTATTTTTCTTATGTAAGAAGTAGTCTGGTAGTAGGCAATCTGCAGTGCTGTCACAGACCGAGACCTATGTCTATTTCCTCCTAGACGTTATCAGAGTGTGCTAATCACCTCATGGTCAGAAGATGGCTTCTCTGTCCACATACCTGTAGGAAGGAAGGAGAGAATACCAAAGAGAAAGGGACAGGATCTGTGTTATTATTAATTTATTATGTTACTTCAATTATACGATTCTGAAATGTTATATACAGTTTTAAAAGACAAGAAAGGTCATTTAAGATTCTTAAGGGCTTCCTTATATCTGGACTTTTTCTTCATCTGAATAATTCTTTGAATTTGAGGAATTGAGATACTTTATGAAAGAAGTAGTCTTAGTTAATAATATTGCTCTTTTATACTTAACAGTGTGAATCACTGTTTTGCATCTGTGGGCCCTTTGCAGTGCAGAACTACTGACCCTAAACGGGCCTTTTTTTTTTTTTTTTTTTTTTGCAACTTTTCTAATCCTATCACTACAAGAAATTAGAGAGACTTCTGGCACCTAAAATAAAGTCTTACACTAACCTCTTCTGCTTTCAGTTTCAAAACCGATTTGATTCTGATGATTACTATACCATGAAAGTATGGCCTTTCCTCTGACATTTTCCTTTTCTCCAACCAAAATAAAAGGACAGAAAGGGCAATTATTCACAAACATAAAGAAAGTCATTTATGTAGAATTAAGGAAATTAACCATTCATCCCATTCATTTTCCTTAAGAGTTTGCTGAACTGTGAGTTTATTGTGATGCTGTATCTGGACACTTTGCCCACTAAATGTTTTTCATCCTATATGTAGATCTTTCAAGGACAGCTTCTGACCACCCCACTTATAACCAAATGAGTAGAAATCCCAAGGATACCAACAACAAAAAAAATATATGTACATAAATGTGTATATATATATATATATACATTTATGTACACACACACACACACACACACACACATATAATATGTGTTACCCATCCCCATTATTTAAAAGAAGGGAGGACACCTCTAATATCTAACTTGTGCCTTCCACCTTTGGGGTAAGGCCAATGATAGGAAGGTGACATCTAGTGGTGGGCTTTTGGATGTACTGTTAGAGGGAAAAGGCTTCACATAGATCTCTTTCCACATCTTGACCTTTCCCCAAGGTTCTCTTGCATAGGAGTCACCTTTAACAGCTTCCCAAGTTGTGAATTATAGACTTTACACAGTGCCCAAAGTGGAGGCTCCATTGTTTTTTATTATCAGTTTTGTGTGTTGTACAGTAAACTTGGAAGGGGAAAGTTCTGAAGTGCAGTGTTTTAAGCATTCTCCAAGAAAATCAGCAAAAAATGGAATACTAATCTATAAGTCATCTACTCCTCCTTTCATATGAAAACATACTAGTAAATAAGTTCATTGGTACTCAATTTTATTACAGAGTTCATTTTTAAATACATTAAGCAATGAAAACACTATATAGCATAGTGTTCAGGTCCTCAGGTATTCTCTTTTTAATACTTGATATTGTTTATAAATTTAATGATGGTGTATATTATCATGGTGACATATAAGCCACTCGTACATGGCAATGTATGTATCATAGAAACCACCAGCAAAAGTATAGGGTCTTCATAACCTGAATCTTTTCATTCTAGATTAGAAGTTGTGATCTCATCTTTTTGTGTAAGTACATATTAAAAGATCATAAAAGCAAAGTATCTATGAAAATTAGCAGTTCTTATATATTTGTTTTGTTAAAAGAGCTTCTTTATTGTAATTCTTTATTAATTTTCCCTTTTTTATTTTAGTGATTCCGTACAGGTCAGTGATCATCCCAATCAAAAAGCTGAGCAATGCAATCATCACATCAAACCCCTGGATCTGTGTATCAGGAGAGCTGGGAGACACAGGAATAATGCAGATTCCCAAAAACCTCCTTGAGATGACTTTTGAGGTAGGGTCCAAGATACCTTTCTTAGCAAAAAAAAGTGTCATATTTAGTTCTACAGAAGGATTCTAGTTTGCTTTTTATCAGTTTTCTATGAATCTGTAAAATAAAGGAATGTGTGAGCATACTGGATCATTTTTGTGATCATATGCTTATTCTTGTCTAAAGTATCTTACACATAGGGGCTGGGGATGTGGCTCAAGTGGTAGCACGCTCGCCTGGGCATGCGTGCGGCCTGGGTTCGATCCTCAGCACCACATACAAAGATGTTGTGTCCGCCGAAAACTAAAAAATAAATATTAAAAAAATTCTCTCTCTCTCTCTCTCTCTCTCTCTCTCTCTCTCTCTCTTTAAAAAAAATAATAAAAAAAAATAAAGTATCTTACACTAATCTGTTCTGTATTTTCATTATTGTTATTTTCATTGTTAAGCTCTTTTTTTCTGCTATTTTATGATTCTTAGTACCTAACACAGAATGTGGCAAGAAGAGAACATTGGAATAAACGGTGTCCTCCCTGCCACAACTTAACCATGTTTTGGCAAAAGGACCAGAGAGCTGACATCCATGCTTATGGATTTTAAATCACATAATGGCATTTATAGATCGATTTTATCAAAATGCCTTGTTGCATAATAGTTTTCAGATCTCACCTAGTGAAGTATTTCCCAACATGGAAGTTGAACTTAGCATGTAGGAAGAAGATAGATAACTGTTCATATTTCAAGAGAGAAGTGGTACTGTGGGGAAAAGGGTACACTTGTACATTGCTGGTGGGACTGCAAATTGGTGCGGCCAATTTGGAAAGCAGTATGGTGATTCCTGGGAAAGCTGGGAATGGAACCACCATTTGACCCAGCTATTGCCCTTCTCGGACTATTCCCTGAAGACCTTAAAAGAGCGTACTATAGGGATACTGCTATGTTCATAGCAGCACAGTTCACAATAGCTAGACTGTGGAACCAACCTAGATGCCCTTCAATAGATGAATGGATTAAAAAAATGTGGCATTTATACACAATGGAGTATTACTCAGCAATAAAAAATGACAAAATCATGGCATTTGCAGGGAAATGGATGGCATTAGAGCAGATTATGCTAAGTGAAGCTAGCCAATCCCTAAAAAACAAATGCCTAATGTCTTCTTTGATATAAGGAGAGCAACCAAGAACAGAGCAGAGATGAAGAGCATGAGAAAAAGATTAACATTAAACAGGGACGAGAGGTGGAGGGAAAGGGAGAGAGAAGGGAAATTGCATGGAAATGGAAGGAGACCCTCATTGTTATACAAAATTACATATAAGAGGATGTGAGGGGAAAGGAAAAAATAAACAAAACAAAACAAGGGAGAGAAATGAATTACAGTAGATGGGAGGGGAGGGGAGATAGTAGAGGATAGGAAAGGTAGCAGAATACAACAGTCACTAGTATGGCAATATGTAAAAACGTGGATGTGTAACCGATGTGATACTGCAATCTGTATACGGGGTAAAAATGGGAGTTCATAATCCACTTGAATCAAATGTATGAAATATGATATGTCAAGAGCTTTGTAATGTTTTGAACAACCAATAATAAAGAGAGAGAGAGAGAAGTGGTACTATCTGCAAGTCCTGTTCTCGTGTCCTTTGGGGTCTAGGAATAGCAGTATCCACTCAGAATCGCAGTACTCACCCAAGATCTCATTTTGGCCTTATATATGTAGTGGACTCACAGGCATTTGTATATAAAAGGTTAAAACCCTTGGCTTTTCTTCATCTACCAATTATGGGACATAAGCTACACTGTAAGTCCCATCTTGCTATTTCCAAACACTTTCACTGTATCAATCCACTCTTTTCCGTCTCTGCTGCATGAGTAATTCAAGGTACCATCCTCCCTCAGCTGACTCACTATGACCCCTTCTCACTGAGATACAAAGAAATGCTTTTAAAACTCATAATTCTGATGTTTCTATCTGACACATGTAGGGTCTATGATGCTTTTCTTATCAGATATTTAAAGTCTGAATTTATGCCAGGTGCAGTGGCATAATCCCAATAACTCAGGAGGCTAAGACAGAAGGATCACAATTGGGGGGCCAGCCTTAGCAACTTAGTGAGACCTGTCTCAAAATAAAAAATTTTAAAGAAGGCTGAGGATGTAGCCCAGTGATAAAGTGCTTCTGGGTTCAATCCCCAGTAGTGCTAAAAAATAAAAATAAAAAAGTCAGAACTTAATTAGCTTTTATGTTTACAATTGCTATTGTCATTGCTTTATTTTATGCTTGTCACAAAGGGTCAGTAAGGATGTTGATAACTGCAGTAGTTTCCCCCCCGCTTTTTTTTATAGTTTCACTTTCTATTGTTTCAGTTACCTGCAGTCAATCAGTCCAAAAATATTAAACAGAAAATTCCAGAGATAAATAATTCATAAGCTAATTTTGTTTGCTTGGGTATTTTTTAGTTAGGTTTTTTGTTTTTTCTGTGCTAGGTTTCAAACCAAGGGCATTACATATGCTAGGCTAGTGTTCTACCACTGAACTACACCCCTACCCTATAAATAAGTTGAAAATTGTACACCATTCTGAGTAGCACGATGGAATCTTGTGCTGTCCTGCCTAGGATGTAAATCATTCCATTGTCCAGTATATCCATGCCACCCACATATTAGTCACTTAGTAGACATTCAAGTTATCAGATCAGCTATTGAGGTATTACAGTTGCTTACGTTCATGTAACCCTTACTTAATAATACCCCCACCACTCTCATACTAGTGATATAAGAATAGTGGTACAAAGAAGACACCAGGGCAGGAACGTTGAAGGACAGATTAACTCTGGTACTTTGTGGCAACTTTGCAGAGCATATAGGCAAAAACTTAGTAGAGATATAAGGTTTGGTACTATGGCAGTTTTAGATGCCCGTTGAGAGTTTTAGAACGTATCTCTTGAGAATAAGGGAGCACTGCCGTATGCCTTATTATTGTTATTATTTTTTAATAAATAGCTTGAAAAAATTCTGGTAGATGAGGTTTGGGGTCAGTTCTGCCTTGGATTTTTATATTTTGTTTGTGGTATTGGAAGTCAAAACCAAGGCCTTACTCATGCTAGGTTAGTACACTACCAGTAACCTATATCCTCAGCTTCTGATTAAAAATAGGAAAATTGCTGGGCATGGTGGCTCACACCTGTAATCCCAGCAGTTCGGGAGGCTGAGACAGGAAGATCACAAGTTCAAGGCCAGCCTCAGCAATTTAGTGAGGCTCTAAGCAACTTAGCAAGACCCTGTCTCAAAATAAAAAAGGCTGGGGATGTGACTCAATGGGTAAGCACCCTTAGGTTCAATCCCATGTGCCAAAAAAAAAAAAGAGGAAAATAACCAAGTATGGTATAACATACCTATAATCCCAGCGAGTTAAGAAGTGGAGGCAGAAGGATCAAAAATTCTGTCTCAAATAATCAAAAGGGCTGGGAATGTAACTCAATGGTAGAATACCCCTGGATTTTATCCACAGTGCTAAATAAATGAATATAAGACATATCAGTAGTCAAGGTGGCTCACTCCTATAATCCCAGCTTCTTGGGAAGCCAAAGCAGGAAGATTGTAAATTAAGGCCATATTAGGCAATAATGAGGCCCATCCCCCCAAAGTAAAGAAAAATAACAGTGTCAGAGATTTTTAAAATCTAGTTGATTTGCTAAGCTCTCTGTAAGTCAATTTAAATAGCACCATTTTCCCATTTCTTAAAATTTTCTCATCCTTCAAATCACTGTCTCAATGATATTTCTGGATTGCACAAATGGAAGTAACTGTTTCTTCCCCAGAATTCTTTTAGTGCTTGTTTACATTTTTAGTCTAGCACCTTGTACAGTCCACCTCATTTGATTGTCAGTGTCTATGTCTCCTATTTCATTGTACAAGGGCTCTGAGAGCAAGGAATACTTTATGGATATTCTTGTTTAGTGTGTAGCTTAGCACATTGAACAGGGTAAGTCTCTGCAATTTTTAGATAAAACCAAAGTGCCACTGTTAAAGGTGAGAGAGAATGAGATGGAATCAATTCCTAAATAACCTATGGTTCTGTCCCTACAGTGCCAGAACTTGGGGAAGCTCACCACTGTTCAAATTGGTCACGATAACTCAGGACTATTAGCCAAATGGCTAGTGGATTGTGTCATGGTCAGAAATGAAATTACAGGACATACATATAGGTAAGTAAATGGCCTTAAAAACTCAAAATTCTTTGCTTTGAGACTTATTTATTTATTTATTTATGCAATGCTAGCGATTGAACCCTGAGCCTCATACATGCCAGACGTGCACTTCACCATTGAGCTACATTCACAGCCAAAGCTCTTTAGATAAGGTTTGAGGGCTGGGGATGTGGCTCAAGGGGTAGGGCGCTCGCCCGGGCATGCGGCCCGGGTTCGATCCTCAGCACCACATACAAACAAGATGTTGTGTCCACCAAAGACTAAAAAATAAATATTTAAAAAAAAAAAAAAGATAAGGTTTGAAATAGTTTTCTTTCTAAAGTTTTTCCCCTGCCTTCTGCATTATAATTCAATTTTTTGGTTTTTTTTTATGTAATATAAAATTATTCTTTAATAGTCCACAAGTTTTGGAAAAATTGGCATAACTAAAAAAAAAAGAAGAAGAAGGAAAAAAGGAATTTTTTAAATAATTTTGATAAGGGGGCTTGGGTTGTGGCTCAGTGGTATAGAGTGCTTGCCTTGCACATGTGAACCACTGGGTTCAGTCCTCAGCACCACATAAAAATAAATAAACAAAATAAAGGTATTGTGTCCATCTACAACTAAAAAAATTTTTGAAAAAATAATAATTTTGATAAGAGAAAATCATCTCTTAAATTCTACCAATTACAGAATCTTAAGAGTAAACATTCTCCTTTTTTCTCTTGTGATTTAACTCCCACATTCATTTTTAGTTTGAAAATTTTCTTTCCACCTGGCATAATGGAGCATGCCTGTAATCCCAGCAACTCTAGAGGCTAAAGCAGGAGGATCCCAGGTTCTAGGCCAGCCTCAGCAGCTTAGTGAGGCCTTAAATAACTTAGTGAGACCCTGTCTCAAAACAAAAAATAAAGCTGGGCCCAGTGACGCATGCCTGTAATCCCAGCGGCTAGATTCCCTTCAGTTGATGAATGGATAAAGAAAATGTGGTATAGACACAATGGAATATTATTCAGCATTAATAGAGAATAAAAACAGCCAGGCGTGGTGGCTCACACCTGTAATCTCAGCAACTTGGGAGACTGAGACAGGAGGATCATGAATTCAAAGCCAGCCTCAGCAACTATAAGGTGCTAAGCAACTCAGTGAGACCTTGTATCTAATAAAATACAAAATTGGGCTGGGGTGTAGCTCAGTGGTTGAGTGCCCCTGAGTTCAATCCCTGGTACCCACCCCACAAAAAAAGAATAAAACTATGGCATTTGCAGGTAAATTGATGGAGTTGGAGAATATAATGTTAAGTGAAGTTAGCCAATCCCAAAAAACCAAATGCCCGAATCTTTTCTCTGACATGAGGATGCTGATTCATAAGGGGGATGTGAGCGGAGCATGGAAGGAATAGATGAACTCTAGATAGGGCAGCGGGGTGGGAGAGGAAGAGAGGGTAGGAAAGGCAGTGGAATGAGATGGATATCATTACCTCAAGTACATGTATGAAGACACGAATGGTATGACTCTACGTTGTGTACAACTAGAGATATGAAAAATTGTGCTATATCTGTGTACTACGAATTGAAATGCATTCTGCTGTCATATATAACAAATTAAAATATTTTTTTTAAAAAAATACTTAACAGTAAGGGGGGGTGTGGCTCAGTAGTAGTGTGCTTGCCTAACATGCCCAAAGCCCTGGATTCAGAGCCTGGGATTACAAAAAAATGAAAAATACAATACTTAACTAGAAAAATGAAGCAAATGGCAAAATATTACGTCTGTGATAAGAAATATGGATGTCTAATATACCATTTTCCACTTTACTATATTTTTGAAATTTTCATAAATAAAGGCAACCCACAGGCTTTTTTGTTTTTGTGATGCTGGGGATTAAACCCAGGGCCTCAACGCATTCTAGGCAAGTGGTCTACCAATTAGGTCCATCCCCAGTTCACCCCAGAGACATTAAAATGATGAGCTTAATCCATGGTACCATTCCTAAACTCTAATTAAAACAGTTTTTAAAAATTAATGATTGAGAAATTTTTTTCTCCCCTCTCAGATTCCCATGTGGGCGGTGGCTAGGGAAAGGCATTGATGATGGGAGCCTGGAGAGAATTCTTATTGGAGAATTGATGACATCAGCATCAGATGAGGACCTGGTAAAACAGTGTCGGACTCCACCCCAGCAGAAATCACCCACCACAGCTAGGAGACTGAGCATCACTTCCCTAACAGGAAAAACTGCCAGTAAGTAGTTTGATTTGTTTGTTTGTTTGGTACCAGGATTGAAACCAGGAGCTCTTAACTCCTGAGCCCCATCCCCAGCCCTTTTTTATATTTTATTTAGAGACAGGGTCTCACTAAGTTGCTTGGGGCCTCGCTAAATTGCTCAGGAGCACTCAACCTTTTTTTTTCCTAGTGTGCTTTACATGTTGCAGGCTTCATGTGGTGATTTCACCAAAAAAAAAAAAAAAAAAAAAAAGTGGGGGGTGCTGGGGTTGTGGCTAAGTTATAGAGAGCTTGCCTAGCATGCATGAGGCACTGAGTTCAATCCCCAGCACCACATAAAAAATGAACAAATAAAATAAAGGTATTGTGTCCACTTACAACTAAAAAAATATTTTTAAAAAAAGATTGCATTAATGAATTATGGCAAAGAGAGTAGGAAAGAGGAAAATTAATTTGGGAGAAGGGACTTTAAAAAGGAGAAGAGGAATTAAGGGTGTAGCTCAGTGGTAGAGCATGTACTTCGCGAGTACAAGACCCTGGATTTAATCCCCAACTCCAAAAAATAATTGACTTATTTAATTTAATTCAAAAGTAGATTTCAGAGCTAGGAAAGTAACACAATGGTAGAATGCTTGCCTAGCATTCATAAGGCCCTCGGTTTGATCCCCAACATTGCCCAGCACTGTACCCTATCCCCCATAAAATATATGTATAAAAACTAGATTTCACTTCCATCCAAATTTATTGCAATTCTGAATTAGGCCAGTTTCATAGTTTGACTGTTTTGTTTGGTTTTGTTGGTACTGGGTATTGAACCCAGGGCTGCTCTACCACTGAGCTAGGTCTCCAGCCCTTTTTATTTTTCATTTTGAGATAGGGTCTTGCTAAGTTGCTTAGGCTACCCTGGAACTTGTGATTTTTCTTCTACCTCAACCTCCCAAATTCTGGGATTACAGGTGTAAACTACCACACCTACCATTATTTCTCAATTTCACTCATATTTTCTTTACTTGTTCAATAAGCCCAGATTTTTAAATAATTCAAGACTCAGAGATGGATGGATAGCAGGGTATTTTTTTCACAAGATATGCAAGGTGATATTCAGAGAACTTGAAAGTTTTAAATCCATCAAAATACTACTGATTGCTGGGATTGTGGCTCAGCGGTAGAGTGCTGGCCTAGCACATGTGAGGCCCTGGGTTCAATCCTTAGCACCTCATAAAAATAAATAAAGATATTGTGTCCAACTACAACTAAAAAATATTTTTTAAAAAATACTACTGATTAGTGTAAGGCTGTTTTAGAATGAATAAGACAATATTTAAAAGAAAATATTCAGAGAAAGGTAAAAGTGGGGAGGGAAAAAAAAATGCTGGTTAGAAAAACTACTAGTAGCTGGAGAGATCACAGTACCAGTCTTCAATCATAAGACATTGCCAGTTCAACAATTTTTTTTTTTTTTTTTTTTTTTTTTTAGTTTTGATGGACACAGTACCTTTATTTTACTTATTTATTTTTACATGGTGCTGAGGATCGAACCCAGTGCCTCATAGGTGTGAGGTAAGCACTCTGCCACTGAGCCACAATCCCAGCCCAGTTCAACAATTTTTATGCACTGGTAAAAACTTACCAGTTTAGGAAGAACCTTCTTGAATTTTACCTAAAGGACTGGGCTGTTTTTATGTTTTAAAAAAAAAAAAAAAATCCTGGTGCCGGGGTTGTGACTCAGTGGTAGAGCACTTGCCTAGCATGTGTGAGACACTGGATTCATCCCTGGCACCACATAAAAATAAATAAAATAAAGGTATTGTGTCCATCTACAATTAAAGAAATATTTTTTTAAAATCCTCCAGCAGTATGAACTAAGACTCTTAAACAATACAGTACACAGTGTTTTCCCTTATAGTGAAGTAAATAAATTAGATCTAATACTTAATCATTTTTCTCCTGTTACCTATTTCTGATGCTTGATGAAATCTGTTACACTTTACTTTTCTTTTAATCATTCTTAGTACAGTGGATAATGACAGTTAAAGTTCCATTTAGACAGCTCATCAACCACACAAGCTCTTTTCTCTTCCTCCTCCTTCCCTCCCTTCACCATCACCCCCTTCTCCCTCTCTCGGCCTAGATGAGCATCTGCTGGCTTGGAAAATGAAGTAGACACAAACTTAGTAGCCAGGAAGGGGAAGAGTCCTGAGCTTCCATTTGGGGTGCCACAGGGAACCTAGGATTTCCACTTACTTTAACACAACTGGTAAACTTCACTCCAGGTTAGCCATTCCAAGCCTCAGAAGCCTTAGCCTGGGTCCATTCAGGGGCTTAGAAGTAAGTAGAATAAGGGAGTATATGAGGCTTGATGATAGGGTCCATCCACATCTTACTCCTCAGATCTGGAGACTTATTATTAGCACTGGGTAGCAGGCATCATGTTAGGTAGTTTACACCTAATATCTTGTTAGTTTTTCCAGTAAGGTGTATATATTTCTATTTTTTAGTTGAAAGAGTCAAACTCACAGAAAGTTAGACACTTGGCTTGGGTTATAAATTGCAGGGTAAAGCTGGGGTTTGCTTTAGGGATCGATTTCTTGAGTTCTTTTTCATTGTGCCAAGATACCTCCCACTTGGGTAGACTGTTCAGAGGTAAGTTTCATGGAGTCCCTGGCAGAGTCAGCCTGGTCTTGTGAAGTGTTTCCTGCAGAGATGGACATGGTTGATATCACATGGTACTTGGATTTATTTTTCCTGCATGAGTATGCAACCCCTCTTCACTATTTTACAGAACCCAATGCTGGACAGATCCAAGAAGGAATTGGAGAAGCTGTGAACAATATTGTGAAACATTTTCATAAACCTGAAAAAGAGGTATTATGGGCTATATAACCTCATATAGTGGGAGTTTTAAAGCCATTTTTATATGTGATACATAAAGCAATATGTGGTACCTTAATTTTCACTTGTAAGCTTTTTAATAGCTACAAAAACATGCTTCCTATAGCCACCCTCAGCATTTCCTTGTTTCTTTAGTGGTTTTCTAAGCATAGAGGCAACAGTTTTTCTTTTAACACTGTGTGTTATGCTTCATAGAGAGGAAGCCTCACGGTTTTGCTTTGTGGAGAAAATGGCCTGGTTGCAGCACTTGAACAAGTCTTCCACCATGGGTTCAAATCCGCCCGAATCTTTCACAAGAATGTCTTCATCTGGGATTTCGTAGGTAAATTAAGCAGATATATGTTATTATAATGCAATTGAAATGTTTCTTAGAAAATTCAGAGATCCAAGAATTTGAATAAAGTTTAGTAATAAAGGAGTCTATTTTTAAAAATAAATAAAGAGAACTTGAAAGTTTTAAATCCATCAAAATACTACTGATTGCTGGGATTGTGGCTCAGCGGTAGAGTGCTGGCCTAGCACATGTGAGGCCCTGGGTTCAATCCTTAGCACCTCATAAAAATAAATAAAGATATTGTGTCCAACTACAACTAAAAAATATTAAATAAGCACTGTCTTTGTTTTTCATCATTCAACAAACATTTATAGTACATACAATAATACAAACACTGCTCTAGATGCTCGAGAGATATGTCAGTAAACACAACAGAAATTCCTAAAGTTGACAAATTTTTATGTTTCTGATGGGGATGAGAGAACAGAGAATATATAAAATCTTTAGGAAATACATAATTCATATGGTATACAGAAGTTGATCTTTCATTTGGGAAAAATTGAGCTGGGTCAAAGAAAGTGACTTTTGGGCTCGGACTTCAAGAAGGTGACAAACTGAGCCATATGAATATCTGGTGGAAATAACTGCCAGTACAGAGGCTCCTACTTGGAAGTGTGGCCTTTTCATGGAACTACAAGAAGACCAGAGAGAGAGTAGGAAATTTGTGAAGGAAGTGGGGTATTTACCTTCTAAGTCATTGGGAAAACCTTGGCCTTCATTCTGAAAGCCATTGGAAGACTTTAAGATGAAGAGTGACATCATATAATTTATAAACACACACCAATGTATGTCTTTTTCTTTTCCTTTTTTTCTGACACTGGGGATTGAATCAGGGCCTCAAACAGTCTAGGCACATACTGAACCACATCCCCAGACTTTTTTTTTTTTTTTTTGTGAGACAGGGTCTCACTAAATTGCCCAGGCTGAACTTAAATCTGTAGCCCTCCTGCCCCAGCCTCCCAAATAGCTGGGATTACTGGTGTGCACTACCACATCCAGCTAATTTTTTTTTTTTTTAAGGACTTTTCTAGGGCTGGAGTTGTGGCTCAGTGGTGGAGCACTTGCCTGCATGTGTGAGGCATTGGGTTCAATTCTCACCACCACATATAAATAAATAAAATAAAGTCCATCAACAACTAAAAAAAAAAAAAGGAGTTCTCTAGTTCTGAGCTGTCCAATATGATAAGCCAGTAGCCATACATGGATATTTAAACTTAGATTGATTTAATTTAAATTAAATTTAAAATTTGCTTTTTTAGTTTTACTGACCATATTCCAAATACTTGGTAGCCACACATGTTTAGTGGCAACCAAATTGGGCCTTGTAGATATAGAACATTTCTATTCTTACAGAAAGTTCTGTTGGACCCACTTGAATCAAAGTGTGAAATATGATATGTCAAGAACTATGTAATGTTTTGAACAACCAACATTAAAAATTTTTTTAAAAATAATAAATAAAAGAATTCTCACACACACAAAAAAAAAAAAAAAGAAAGAAAGTTCTGTTGGAATGTGCTGCTCTAGCCTGCTAACATTTGTGATCTTTCTTTTGGTATGCAGTTCCTCTAGAATTCCCAGTTTCTTTAAAGGAGCAGTAAATCATTTTGTGTTTTATAAATAAGGCCTAGATAAAGCAGTGACTGATTTCACCTAACTCAGAATTTTCAGGCCTTTAAAGAAAGGAAAATTACAGAACTAAGCCCAAGAGTGATTTTTACTTTTTTTCTTTCTGGTCCTGACTCCGATGTGTATATCAACAACTGTCTTCCTCAGGTTTACTCAGTCGGGTCTATTTCAAGGATCTTGTGCAAAGTGTTAAGCAGCCATTCCAGAACAAAAAGCACCATCTTTTTCTTTTTTTTTCTTTCTTTTTTTTTTTTTTTTTTTGGTAGATGGACAGCATCAGCATGCCTTTATTTTTTTTATTTTTTATTTTTTTTGTTTATTTTTAAGGTGCTGGGGATTGAACCCAGTGCCTACACGTGCAAGGCAAGCATTCAACCACTGAGCTACAGCCCCAACCCTAGAAGGCACCATCTTAATGATTGTTCTATCATAGACTACTGAAAGCTTCCAGTCTTACAAGATTCTATTTTTCTGTTTTGCCAATTTCTTTTCATGGAGATATTTTTATTAAAGTAAACTTTCTAAGCTTTTAGAAAATAAATTACAGTTTTGATTAGAAAATAAATTTCTGGGAAATTAGAATTATTATACATTGCTGGTAGGAATAAAAAAAATGGTTTAGCCAATATGGAAAAAAAAAAATTTCTGGGAATATATTGTTCTACCATGAAATGTGAACTTCTGAAATTTATATTGAAACCAATGATAAGGTAATGATTTTGGCTTTGGGACTGGCTATGATACAAAGCCTTATTAGTGTTTCCAGAATAAATTAAATGATGAGTCTATAGATAAGTATTAACTCTGTTGTGAAATGTGATTCTGCTTTGTTTCCACAGAGAAAGCGGTTACCTATTTTGAAACCCTAGACCAGATTCTGGACAATGAAGATGATGTTCTTATCCACAAATCATCCTGTAAAACATTCTGCCACTATGTAAATGCTATTAATACTGCACCCAGAAACATTGGGAAGGATGGCAAATTCCAGATTTTAGTTTGCCTTGGAACACGGTATAAAACCAGTTTTTTACTTTCCTTATGTTTGTTACATGTTGAACAGGAGTCCAGAAGGGGTTAAAACAGATCATACCCCTCCCAAACCCTCTGTTGAGTTTCTATCATTTCAATTTCTATTATGAAACTAATTTTCTGGGTATGCTCCTATTATTTCACTACTACCACCACATGATCTCCCTATTCTGAAGGTGAGAAAATAGGAAATAAACACAGATAAGTTAGCACACTTTCCCAAAGTCACATAGCAAGAAAGGAAAGCCAGGATTCACATCCAGTCCCATGCTACAGCCCAGATTCTCAACTTTTTCTCTGTACTGGCTCCAAAGATAAGTAAATAGATAACAGATAAGTCATACATGTGTATTTATTCTGTAGACCTTATGTGATACACCACCATATTGCTATGAATATAATAATATTGTGGGATCCTTGTTATATAAATGTCATCTTTTGGGGCAGGAGAGAGGTACCGGGATTGAGCTCAGGGGTACTTAACCACTAAGCCACATTTCCAGCCCTATTTTGTATTTTATTTAGAGACATGGTCTCGCTGAGTTGCTTACCGCCTCGCTGTTGCAGAGGCTGACTTTGAACTCCAAATCCTCCTGCCTCAGCCTCTTGAGCTGCTGGGATTACAGGCATGTACTACTGTGCCTGGTTCATCTTCTCTTTAAGACTATTCCCTAGCTAGGTGTGATGGTGCATTCCTGTAATCCCAGGGACTCTGGAGGCGGAGGCAAGAGGATTGCAAGTTCAAAGCCTGTCTCAGCAATTTAGCATTAAGCAACTCAGTCAGACCCTTTCTCTAATAAAATACAAAATAGAGCTGGGGATTTGGCTCAGTAATTCAGTGCCCCTGAGTTTAATCCCTGGTACCCAAAAAAAAAGGACTATTTCCACCCATTCATTTATTCATTCATCTTTGTGATACTGGGCATTGAACCAACGGGTGCTCTACTACTGACCTACAATCCCTAGCCCTTTTTTATTTTTTATTTTTGAGAAAGAATCTCACTAAGTTACCAAGGTGGTCCTCAAACTTGCTGTCCTAGTCTCAGCCCCCTGAGTTGATGGGCTTACAAATGTCAGTCACCACACCAGCTTCCTACTCCTTTGTTTTATTTTATTGCATTAATGAGAATTAAACTTGGCCTTGCATGTGCTAGATGCGTGTTCTACCACTGAGCTCCACACCCAGCCCTACTGGTAGCTTTGTTTTTTGAAAATGACACATAGGGGGTGGGCATCATGGTGTGTGCCTGTAATCTCAGCAACTCCGGAAGTAGAGGCAGGAGGATCGCAAGTACCTGGCTAGCCTCAGCAATTTATCAATATCCTTAGCAACTTAGAGAGGCTCTGTCTCAAAATTTAAAAAAATAAATAAAAAGGGCTGAGGATATTTTAAACTTATTGGTGTAATTTTTGTTTTCTCACAAACATTGAGAGCCCCAATTTGAGATTGAGAATGGCTAGTTATGGTCGCGCATGTCATAGAAAGGTAGGTTGAGGGTGCTGGGTGAAGATACTCTAACGGATTGCCAGTGTCAGGTATGATTGGAAACAATGGAAGATATGAGACAGTGTCATAATGAAACAGCAGTTAACATAAGAAAGTTCTGTATTTCTTAATAAAACCGGCCCAATTTCAGCTGTCTTTAAAGTTTTTCTTGAGTATGATCTTTATCTATTTTTATCTTTGTACTGTTATGATTTATTTGATCAATGCAAACCCTCTTTGGGGTTATAAAATCTACTTACATTTTTTTACTTCAGTTTTGCTTCCCGAGGTAAGTTTGTTGTTGTTGTTTTGTTTTTAAAGAAAATCCCTACTATTTAATATAGTCTGTCTTCCCAAACTGTCAGTATATTCTAGGAGGCTTTTGCCACAGAATAGTACCCTTGTTTAAAAAAAAAAAAAAAAAAGACATAGGAAATTATTTTGGTACTGGGGATTAAACCCAGGTGGGCTTTATCATTGAAATATATCCCCAGCCCTTTTTTTTATTTTGAGACAGGATCTTGCTAAATTGCCCAGGCTAGACTTGAACTTACTAATTTCTTGCCTCAGTATCCCATATAGCTGGAATTACAGGCATCTGCCAACAGCCCGGCCCCCAACCTCTTTTTAAAAAGGTGGTAAATGGTGTTTGGGAATATAGTTCAGTTGGTAGAATGCTTGTCTTGCATGTACAAGGCCCTGGGTTCAATCCCCAGCACCACAAAAAAAAAAAAAAAAGTGGTAAAAGCATGCCAGCCAAGGTGGCCCACGCATGTGGCCTAGGTGGCACACACCTGTAATCCCAATGGTTCTGGATGCTGAGGCAGGAGAATCACAAGTTCGAAGCCAGCCTTAGCAACTTGTCAAGACCCTAAGCAATTTAACAATACCCTCTCTCAAAATAAAAATATCAAAAAGGCTGAGGTTGTGGCTCAGTGGTAAAGTGTCCCTAAATTTAATCCCTGGTACCCCAAAAAAGGTGGTAAAATCAGAGAATTTCTTTAATGTGTGTAGACTTTCTGATGTACTTTTAGAATCTAGTGGATTTTCCTATTCACTTTGTACTCTGATTACAACCTTTCTATCAGTGAATCTCCTCCACCTTCTTGGTTTTGGTTTCCTCTCTGTTGACCTCAGAGCTTGGCTAGAGATTGCACTGTTCAGCCCCACACCTTCCCAAATGAAAGCACCAATATGTCCATTGTTGTGCAGTGAGGCTCTCTCTTGGTACTAAGAAATCATTTCTGTTTGGGTCTGTAGAGATCACCTGCTGCCTCAGTGGATTCCATTGTTAGCTGAGTGTCCTGCCATCACTCGAATGTATGAGGAGAGTGCACTTCTGCGAGATCGCATGACCGTCAACTCCCTCATCCGAATTCTGCAAACAATTCAGGACTTCACCATAGTATTGGAAGGATCACTCATCAAAGGAGTGGATGTGTAAACCAACTGTCCAGAAATTCTCAGTCCAAACCTCTGAATTCTGAACCTTCTCCCAACTATGGGGACAGACTTAGACTTGTCTGACAGTAGTGAGTCACGCAGGGGTCAACCCAGTGTATGTCCCAATTTGAAGGATCTTTACTCTGCAGACAAGGCAATGCTGTATTGTAGTTCATTTGAACCTGGAATTTAGTATAAAATAGAGTATTTTCATGTGTTAGATGTGTGTAAATATGCTATCTTCTTTAAGAAATTATATTACTCTAATAAGATACTTTTCTTAGATTGAAAATTCCTGTGATTTAAAATAAGTAGTTTAAAAATGTTGGGGGTTAGGGGGAAGAGTGGTGCTAGTCAGGAAGAAGCCAGTAAACATGTAAATATGGTGCAACCCTGTTGGGCTTTTTTTTTTTCTCCTGTAGGTATCACAAAGGAACCCAGAATGCATTGTATGTGGTAGCCATCCATCCTGTGTTGATCCTTTGTATAGTGAATGTATGCCATTTTACCTACTGTGGAATAATCCTCACTTGTATTTTTTAAGTTATAAACCACTTTATGCTTATGCATTTAAATTGAGTCACTTTTCCAGCCTTTTGGGGAAAAAAAAAAAATCAGTTGGCACAAGGTAAAGATATAATTCAAGCATTTTCTTTTTCCTGATACTGGGGATTGTATCCAGGGGCACATTACCTCTCTGCCATGTCCCCAACCCTTTTTATTTTTATTTTTTTGAAAGTTCTCACTAAATTGCTGAGGCTAGCCTCAAACTTTTATTCTTCCTGCCTCATCCTTCTGAGTCCCTTGGATTATACGCATGCCCCCCCACCAACCCCTCCCCAGTTAATTCAAGTATTTTAACTACCAGACACTGGGAGCTTGGCTGAACTGGAAAGAAACACAGGAAGCCCTGAGAAGTGTGTTAAAATTATGGGATTATAACTTCTTTGCACTTTGGAAAGATTAGCCTAGACTAATTTCATTCTTGGCATTTTTATTCTTGTTATTTGAGGTACTTTAGGAAGATATGAATTTCAGAGTTTAGCCTCATAGTTATAAGTACTACAAACAGCAACTTGATTCTGCACTTTAATTTGTCCATGTAAACTCTGCAGTGGTCCTTTACGTCTTAAGGATAACCAGCTCTGTCTGTTAGGTTCCAGCCACCCCCTCTGCATGCCCATCCCCCTTCAGGAAATGGAAGGAATGTCTAAGAAGGAGGAGGGCACTGAGTGGCTTGGAATGTTTTTGTGAAAGTATTTGTTGACCATGATAATGCAAATAACAGAACGGGAGAGAAAGAATGAACCCTTTCTGGGTGTTTCAGGGCAAGCTTTCTGTTCCTTTGTAAGAAGGGGCAATAATGTAAAACAACTGGCCCAGAGGAGCACAGATTGACAAAATGGAAATGAAACAAGAAACAAGAGGCAGCAGTTTTGAAAGACCAGACTTGTGAGTAACTTTACAATTTGATTGTTTATAAAGAAGTTAAGTAAATGTAGTGTTAGGTAGTTACCTTAAGTCTTCATCTTCTGATAGGTCGCCTAATTCTAATTAGAGAGTGGAACATTGTTAACAGGAAATTTGCCTCAGCAGACCTCCAGGTTTTATTCCCAACTGTGATTGCAAAGCCAAGCCATGGCTTCTTAGGATCCTTGTGCAACCTAAAGGTCCTGGGCTCTAGCCAACAGTGTTGTTCCCTTATTTCCTGGAGGAAGAAATTAGTGAAACAAGTGCCTCACTCCCTTTATCAAACACTGTATGCAGCTAAGAAACAGGCCCTTTTGTCATGTGACTTTATACTTAAAAAAAGGGTTGTTGAAGGCTTCACATGAAACCTATGCAAAGGGCTTAAGAAGGTGGTTCTGGGGCTGGGGTTGTGGCTCAGTGATAGAGTGCTCACATAGCACATGCGACACCCTGGGTTCAATCCTTAGCACCAAATAAAAATAAATAAATAAAATAAAATAAAGCTATCGTGTTCAACTCCAAGTAAAAAAATATTTTTAAAAAGAAGGTGGTTCTGGTTGACCTGGGTAGAAGAGAGAATGGTTTAAACTAAACTGTATCTACAATGGTGTAGCTATCCTAGGGATATAGGAATTCTATTATTGAAGACATTCATAACCTCTTTCACCTGTCTTCTACCATAGTGATCAGAAATTATAGATGGCCCAATCCAGGGTTTCATTCTTGTTTTGGGAAGTGGGTACCAGGATTGAACTCAGGGGCACTCAACCACTGAGCCACATCCCCAGCTCTATTTTGTATTTTATTTAGAGACAGGGTCTCACTGAGTTGCTTATCGCCTCCCTTTTGCTGAGGCTGGCTTTGAATTTTTGATCCTCCTGCCTCAGCCTCCTGAGCCGCTGGGATTATAGGTGTGCACCACTGTGCCCAGCACAGGGTTTCATTCTTGTTACCTTTTCCATAAGACCATGCTTCTGAAATACCAAAATATATACATACATACACACACACACACAAGTTATGAGTAAAGTTTCATCCCACTTTGTTGTGTAGTATGACTATAACAGTAAAATTACTAAAATTCAGCTTTTCAGGAAGCTGAGGCAGGGGGATGACAAGTTTGAGTCCAGCCTGGGTGGACTGTACCAAATCCCTGTCTCAAAAAATAAAAAAATAAATAAAGCCTGGGGATGTAGCTCAGTGGTAGAGTATACCTGGGCTCAATCCCTAGTACCAAAGGAAAAAAAGAAAGAAAACAAGAGAAGAGTAGGGGAAGAACCAATTTCAAAAACCATAAATCCTCTTGGCTAGGCGCAGTAGTCACCTCAGAGCACCTGTGCTTGTCCCTGGGGCATAGCCTTTGCTGTACACACTTGGGCCACTTGTGATCTACTTGAATGGCCCATAGCCCATTCTTTTGAATATTCTCGGAATAAATATTCTCAGAATAAATATTTCAGAATAAATTAATAATTAGAAACAGCATAAATTCCCTGCAATCCAAGTTTGATGAATAAAAGAATGATTCTGCTGATGGAGTCATCTAGTACAATTATAAAGAAATAAAACTCAGGTGGCTTATAACTGTCTCTGAGTTAATCCCAAAATGTTTTGAGCACACCAGTAAGCAGAATCCACTGAATAAATGTGTGACCTTTCATACTTGAGTTGTTTTTTGTTTGCTTGTTTGTTTTGTAGGAGGGATTGAACTCAGAGGTACTTTTTTTACCACCAAGGTATATCCCCAGTCCTTTCAGTCCTTTTTATTTTTTATTTTAAGGCAGGGTCTCACTAAATTGTTTAGGGCTGAATTAAGTTGTTGAGGCTGGCTTTGAATTTGGGATCCTCTTGCCTCAGCCTCCAGAGTTGCTGGGATTATAAGTGTACGCCACTGCACTCATTCACCCTGACTTTTGGATTGATCATATCCATTTAGAGATATCCTTTCTGCTATGTTAACTTTTTTAAAAATATTTTTAGTTGTAGATGGACATAATACCTTTATTTTTTTAGTGCCAGGGATTGAACTCAGGGGCACTCAACCACTGAGCCACATCCACAGCCCTATATTGTATTTTATTTAGAGACAGGGTCTCACTGAGTTGCTTGGCACCTCACTTTTTTGCTGAGACTGACTTTGAACTCAAGATCCTCCTGCCTCAGCCTCCCGAGCCACTGAGGTTACAGGCGTGCGCCACAACTCTGGCTATTTTATACTTATTTTTATGTGGTGATGAGGATCAAATCCAGTGCCTCACCCGTACTAGGCAAGTGCTCTATTACTGAGCTACAACCAACCCCAGCCTTGCTATGTTAATTTTAAAATTAGTATATTGCTTTAGAATCATACTATAAAGTAAATAAAAATAAATTTTCTATTTGCTTTTTCCCCCTCCAAATAAAATTAAATGCCTGGGGCCATAATTAAGATTTTCAAATAACAGTGGCTTTGGAAGAAATTATTTAAAACTTAAATTGCCTTGGCTGGCAATGTAGCTCAGTATTAGAGCACTTGCCCAGCAGGCTTGTGGCCATGAGTTCCATCCCCAATACAGAAAAAGAAAAATGACTGACACTCAAGTATGAGGTGGTATAAAAGAGCTCTAGGTGGGAAAAGTAGGCTGCTAAGAATGAAAGCCTCCCAACCATTGCCCTCCACATATGTCCCACTGGAAGAGTGAGTTTGGTAGAAGAGAGCTAAAATTTGCAAAGATTTAGCTTTCCCTCTAAAAACTTTTTAAATATTCTTTTTAGTTGTAGATTGACACAATTCCTTTATTTTATTTATTTATGTGGTTCTATGGATTGAACCCAGTGCCTATCACACATGCTAGGTAAGTATTCTACCACTGAGCCATAACCACAGCCCCTCCCTCTAAAATTTCTTATAAATGTCCCACACTTTTTTTTGGTAACTGTTATTTACATTAACATGACTTTTTTCTTTTTCTTTTTTTCTATTTTTTTATAATTTTTTAAAATATTTATTTTTAGTTGTAGGTTGACACAGTACCTTTATTTTATTTCTATGTGGTGCTGAGGATTGAACCCAGTGCCTCACACATGCCAGGTGAGCACTCTACCCCTTGAACCACAACCCCAGCCCCTCTTTTTTATAATATTAATGAAGTTCTGTCACACTGTATAAATGATGTAGGGGAAAAACTGAATTGCTCATACTTCCTTTTTTGGCAACAAAGCCTTGTATGCAGGTGTAAGTGAAAAAGAGAGGTTAAGATTATATATGACAACTTATGTGTAGTATATTATTGATACCCTAAGGTGTTTTGAAACATGAGGCAATAATTGAGGACCTTAAATTCCCAGGGAAATATCTGTTAGCTTTGGGAGTATAGCTCTTCATAATGAAATATCTTCTATTAAGAATTATGGGGTTTTTTTTCCAATAGATTTTTCATTTAGGGAACTGTGAGTATTTTCTGTGAGGTTTACAGATATTAGTCTATCCTTTTCACAAATGTTGAGAGGACAATCTGAACCTTAGCTACTTACATTTCAGTATTAACACAACTTCATTGATTGAGAATGGGTCTTGAGTTCTCAATTTTTGTGAAGTGAATCCTATTTCCAAGTTGTCTGTGTCCTTTGAATTCCTGTAACAGATGAATTTATTCATTACCATTTAACATAAATCAGAAAGAATGACAAGCTACTGAGTTCCTTATTTCTGTTAAAATGGGAGTATAAATCTGTTGAATTAAATGAATACAAGCTTTTTGAAAAGATCATTGTTGCAGTATGATCAAAAGTTCAAAGGAGGGGGCTGGGAATATAGCTCGGTTGGTAGAGTGCTTGTCTCACATGCACAAGGCCCTGGGTTCAATCCCCAGCACCACACACACAAAAAAAAAAAAAAAAAAGAGAGAGAGAGAGAGTCCAAGGAAAGACTGGGGTGCAACTCAGTGGTACAGTACTGTGCATGCCTAGCATGCACAAGGCCCCACATTCAATCTTACTAATAAAGAAAGAGTTCAAGGAGAACTTTACCCTCCCAAATTTATTAGAGCTAATTACCCCTTAAGGAAGACATAAAAATTGGCTTCAAAAAGGCATC